CCCAGAAGGGGGAGAATGACAAACTGGGACAAGTAATTTAATAACTTGTAGAGAGTCAACAAAGTGCACGCGGGAAAGAGCCCTGAACAAGTACCGCGTGCATTTCTCGTAATTCGGCCCGTATAACCGCAAGGTTGGTGGGGCCATGGGAGGTGGTGGGTTGTTCCCATCTCTGGGCAGGGGGGCTCCCCAGTGCTAGCTCCTTCCACTTGACCGCATCCAGCGCAGAGTGGTTCGAATCGTCGACAACCGAGTTCTTTCCGATCGGCTTGACTCATTGGCACTGCGTAGAGATGTTTCATCTCTTTGCGTATTTTATCGCATCTATCATGGGGAGTGCTCTGAGGATAAACATATAAAATTAAATACATAATAAGACAAACATAATATAAAACATGACTGAAAGAGAACAGCATGGTCTTAATCCAAATTAATTATCCCGATGCCTTTAAAATGTGTTCGTGTACCAACTTTTTAAATGCTAACTTATTCAGGGCTTTTCTAATGTATTCCGACAAAGAGTTCCAGAGAAGTGTAGCCAAAATGGAGAAAGATTTACCAACGAACTTGGTGCAGTGTTTAGGAATACTCAACACGTAATTAGATGAGTAACGAACTATCTTGAGAAGAAGAAATATACTGGTACTCATTCGTGGCAGAGCCATGTTGCAGCTATATTAGTAGTATAGTTGCAGCACGAATGGGTTGGCTTGACCGGGGAAGGACTACACCAGCCGCCTTCGGACTAATTCCAGCCGCTCAATTTGACCATCGCACATCGCGATAAAACTCGCGATACCATCTATATCATCTGGATAATTGGCGGTCCACCACTGTGCGGATTTAGAAGAAGTTTTCTCCCTCGCACAACTTCCTTGTGGAATCGATTATCAGCAGCGATTTTTCCGGACCGATACGTCTTAGGGACCTTTAAGAAAAGAGCCTACTCCTTTTTAAAAGGCCGGCAACGCATCTGCAATTCCCCAGATGTTGCAGTTGTTCATGGGCGGCGGTAGTCACTTACCATCAGGTGAGCCGCATGCTCGTTTGCCCCCTTTCCTATAAAATAAAATATTTTGAGTCTATATTAAGGTCTTTTTTTATAAAATTAAAGTCAATAAGGAACTTACAGTTGATGGTAAGTAGCTACTGCAGTCCAAAGCACAACCTCAAACAAAGAAGGCAACAAACAAATGCTTTGTCACCTTTTGGGACTAAGATGGAATGCTTCCAATCTATAATTATACTGGCCCTGAATACCTAACGTGATCATAGGTACATCCCGCTTTGATTAGAACATTGCTCTTTTTTAAACTCGTTTGTGGCCGCTCCACTCTCCCCAAAATAAGTAAAAACGTCCCGCTTTGACGATCAAACGCGTAGTAGCACGCAAATCATTGTAGATCCGCACCGCGCCAACCCGTTTTGCCAACGTGGCTTGGCTTAAACTTACGTTACTATATTTTAAAAATTTTTAATTAGTCTACAATATAATAGTCAAATAATTCTAAATAATTTTTGCTCTTCTGAAGCGGCTGACCGCTAAGACTTAGCAGACCGCAGATTCTACTCATGGGTATTATCGACGGTGGTGTGTCTTTCCTAGTATTGTGGGGTAAGGAGTAGTGGTACTGGGATTAGTGGTGACGGGGATAGTGCACGCAATTGAGGGAGGGTGAGGCAGGGCGGGAAGTGCTCTTCGAACTAGGCGAGGCATATCATTTTATTTCCTTACGCGGATATAAGCAAATAAATTTTTGAACAATTTTAATATAATGGATTTCCACAAAGTAACGCCTGATTCTATTAATTAAGATGGAATGCCCCTTTACCAATAAAAAGGTCTTTTCTTTTCCACATCCATCGTACGTAATACAGCAGCATTATGCTGTTATTTTATCTAGGTATTTTGCACGTGGGAGAGCCATGCTGCAGCTATATTAATAGTATAATTGTAGCACGAATGGGTCGGCTCGACCGGGGAAGGACCACGATCTCACAGAACACCAGCGTAAAATAGCAGCTGCTGTGTTTCGTATGGTGAGTGTAGAGAACCGGAGACCCATTTTACCGGAAAAGAGGAATTCTATCTTAGTCCTCACGGCTGACAACGGATCTGCATTTTAATTCGCAAACGAAGATAGATGTAGATGTCTATGGGCTACATCAACCACTTACCACCAGGTGGACTGTGTGCTCGTTTGTCACCCTTATTCTATAAAAAAAACATGGTTCTTCTCCGGTTGAACCACGTATATGCTAGATGTAAGTACATAGACCGGTGAAGGGTAGCAGTCTCACAGGTGTGAGATGTCCAGTACTGTGGTCCGCAATCTGTCCGTTGAGTGTGTTGAATACGCTAAATCCTCTCTAAAACTAGAAGAACTGAAAACCAGCAGTAGACTTTATACAGTTGATCAGAAAACGTTTTATTTTTATTTATTTATTGATTATCCATAGTTAATTTGTACACAACATAAAGAAACACAAATATTATGCGAAAATCTGTTGTACTCGTACAAACTAGGAATAAACCTGTATGATGGATCGTCAGGGCTCCATCCGTCAGTAACAATCAGTTAAAATCTTAATGTGGTAATAAAGATATACACACACACATTGTTTATGTGTGCGTTCATGTATGTGGTATATGCGAATTGTAAGATGTAATGATACTTGTATGGTATGATATGACTTATACATTTTATATGGTAGTCACTCTGCAGCGATTATGGCTGCAGGACGAATTGCCCGAGGAAGGTACTCGTACAGTACACCAAAGTATAAAATATATTATGTCTGTATAATTATAACTTTTCGTTATCGTTATCGTTTCGTATAATGAGTGACGGAAACCGGAAATCTTTTTTACTAGTAACGAGGAATTCCATCTTAATTCTTAAGGGGTTGAAAAAGATGTAGATGTGGGTCACAGTGACCAGTGAGGGCTAATAATCTTCCACTCACCAGATGTCGCTAGCTGTGACTGTGGTAAAGCTTTTTGTTACACAGTGTCCCTTAATTGAGAAATTAGTTTTAAATAATAGATTATCAGTTTCTAGAGTGTTATATTAATACACAACACAATGCATCAGTGATTTGATCTTTATTCTTTTTGGACTTTATACCCCTCTTTTAATTTTTTTTTTACTTTTAGTAGTTTAGTTATATTTATAGTTTGGTTTATTTATTTTAATGTAATTAATATAAAATATAACTAATAATACAGAAAGAAACAGTAACGTTTACATTTTTCTAAAGGATTATCTTCACCGCTATGAAATCTTTCAAATGATTTACTTCATTGTAAAGTGGCGTCGCGTCGTCCTGTAAAGTGGCGTCGCGTCGTCCTGTAAAGTGGCGTCTGCCTCGGTGGTGGCAGAAAAAGTCGTGGATGCCGTTATTTCCACCAGTGAACTGTGTGCTCGTTTGTAATTTTTTTATAAAAACACCGCTTATGCCAGCCTTAATACTTCGGATTTCAATTGTTTATTCCAAACGGACAATAAAAAGAAGTGTAATAAATGATAAAAAAACTTTATTTTAAAATAGTTTTTATTATATATAATTAACTAGCTGTGCCCCGCGGTTTCACCCGCGTATATCACGCATCTGCGCCTTGCGACATGCGAACTTCGAGAGAGACATCACGACGGACGGTTGCTGAATTAACAAAGATTTAAAAAGTGAAATATGTTACTAAAATTACATGGTTAACGTAATTGGTGGTCAGTACGTACTCGTATTAGTAGTATTTGTACCGGCGTTACATATGGTATCGCAGACTCTTTTGTAGAGATTAATATCCTCTATAAAAGTGAAGTACATTACTTTGCTCTATTATCAATAGTTTCCGAAGCGTACGCGATATAAAGATTCTTTTTGGTATTTTTTCACACCTTGGGTTACATTAACGAAGTTTTCATACGGATCCCTAACTTTTTTGAAAATATTATATAGCCTATGTTCATCAGGGATAATGTAGGATTCTTATGGTGAAAGAATTTTTCAAATCGGTCCAGTAGTTTCGGAGCCTATTCAATTCAAACAAACAAACAAACAAATCTTTCCTCTTTATAATAGTAGTGTAGATAACATAATATCTAATTCTGATAGGTAAGGGACTGCCCGCTTGCTATAAACTCCATAACACGCGAGCAACCGAGTTCAGTCGCCGCCTGCACGGGTGAAAGTGTCATTTGCCATTTTATCAGCAAAAAGGATAATATTGTTTGAAACCGTAGCAGGGCAGCGAGGTGGAATTCTCGCTTGTTCCAAACATCTCCCAAAACAAGAAGAAAGCCTGTGTTCAGCAATGAGACGTATGACGGGGCCTTTACTTTTTTAACATACATCATAAAACCTGTTAAAGTCCACTGCTGTACGAAGGTCGCATAAGAAGATATTTTGTATTTTTTTTTATAGAATTAGGGTAACAAACGAACACACAATATACCTGTATCTACTCTACATACACAGTACTACATCTATCCTCGATTAAGATTCAAAATGCAGATGAGTGTCACGCATGAGGACTAAAAAAGAATGCTTCGTTTGCAGTGAAAAGTTCTTTACACTCACCATACGAAACAGCAGCGCTGTTAATAAGCTGCTATTTCATGCTGGTATTCTGTGAGAGCGTGGTCTTTCCTCTTTCCCCGGTCAAGCCGACCCATTCTGCCTAAGTATAACCTGGATTTCGTTTTAAAGCCCAGCTTATTGGAAAGTAATACCATTATCATTTAACGAAGTCGTAATATATGGTGAAATTGGATAGGAGATTTTGGGCATAGGATGGGAAAATGGTTTTAGTAGAATACACTGACTAGAAAGAAATGGTGTAAGTTGTTACCGTATATCAAACGTCAATTATTGGACAGCTAGTTGGCAAGTGTACGATCTGTTTTGATGTACATATATTAATTTTAGACATCTATAGAAATAAGCATGACTCTTTTAGCTTTTTTAGAACGGGATTGTAATGGATTTCTATAACACAGAAGCATTGGGCAGCGTGGGCAGCACGGCGGGAAGCTCGTGGCCTTCGTCTGCGGAGCCATCGCCTTCGCCAGCGTCGACTCCAACGTCCGCTGATGCACCTGATGCTGACGCCGACGGCGAACCGCCCTTTACGCTTGGAGCAACCGAGCACACGCCCTACCAGTGCCCATTCTGCGACAAGGCCTTCCCGAGGCACTTCTATCTTAAGAAGCATGAACAGGTAAGTTCATTTAACCTCGACCTCAAATTATTTGCATTACATAATAACAACAAAATAGATCTCGTCTACGCCTACATGTTTAGTGAACTATTCATAAACGTTAATTTGTTAAAAAATTGTGGTAAGTAATTGAACCCTTTTAATTTACTCCATAATCTCAAAAAATCCCACTGAGTTGCTTGCTGTTTCTTCCCAAGACAGAGGCTTTTTGAACCAATGGTGAAAGCATAAATGATCTTCAATAAATTTCCTTGTAATCCAAACTGAATAATAATTATTCTATTCTATTCTAGTTTCCAATGAAGAAATATATTAATAATAAAACATGCGTGAGTGTCGTGGAACACTCGGTTGGTACGAAGTTCCTTTCGTAGTATATTATTATTGATAAACGTATTATATTATTGGTTTACAAATACAAATAAATGAATTACTAGCGTCTATTAAAATGAAGTATCATTTAAAATAAAATAATATTTCTTTAATGGCAAGATAAGAAAAAGTGTGAGGGATATGGATATTATTCCATCTCGCTTCCTTATAGCCGCCAAGGCCATCCACACTACGTCAGAAGGGTCGTGACGGAAAAATCTTAGATTTTTTCTCGCCTAGCCCCCCTCCGCTAAATTCGTAGGCGTCCGATAAGAAACTTTGTTCCAAACCATCTGAATGAAACTTCTTTATATGTCTAAAACATATTTAATTCTAAAATATTTGAACTATTATAACAGCTTACGCAAACGCTCTTGAGGCTATTGTCGAAGGTCCCGTTAGCAGTATAAAGGTTATCCGGTGCTCGTCATAACCATATCAATCACAGCAGCATTAAGAGATCGAGAATGAGGTTTCCCCTATCGATCCAACCAACTCATGCTGCAGTCATAATATAGTTGCAACCCGTGTCCAGATTCGGCAATACATTTGAGTTTTCTCTAATTACAAGAGTTAGAACCCCACTGAAAACAAATTAATATCTATTAATAATTATATTTATTTCAAAACACATATACCAACACCCAAGCAAAATAAGAATAATTCCAGACAGCAATTTAATGCATGTGTACAAGGACAGATTAAAATCAGAAAATAAGTTGAAATGTACGAAGGTTCCTCATATGTTTAACGGACGGTGTTTCGAGATAATAAATGTGTCTACTGCCATAAAGCAACTCGACTAGCGCGACTACAATACGACTATTAAAGCCGTCATATCTGTGAATTCACAGTCCAGTTTCGCCATGCAGCACCGAGCTTCATTAGCAAGTAGATACCCAAAACGGGCCCATTTACAGAGCCGGTGCGTATGGAGATATGCATCGCAGTAGCCTTGCACCGAGCTCAGTGCGAGCTCTTCGAGACTGTGACGCGCAGGCCATTACGGCGGCCGTACATCTCGGCTCCTTTGTGTTACGCCGATCCCGCCGTGTTACGATTACCTACACGCTTTGCGACAGATCTATCCGAGATAGGGAAAATAGAAACGTCACTTTGCATATCGTCCCACCTACGCTCAAACCAAAATTGCGATGACCCAGGTCTTGGATGGTAAAATTTCGCTCAAAAGTGCCGTAAAAATTAGAGTATGTGATAAGTTTTTTTCACTGGAAAACGCCCACTTGTAGAAATCTTTATTATCAGAATTAAGTACAGAGCGCAAATTTCAACATGGATGTGAATGACCATATTTAAAACATGTAAAATAAAAAACAATTTTAGAAAATCTACTTTAGAAAAACGAAAGAACTGCATATTCATCACATTTCAAAAAAAATCAGACCGGCAATAAAACTTGTAGATTTTTAAAAACATAAAAAATATAATCAGCACCTTTCCAAAGTTCAATCTGGTTAATATATACATTGATTTCAAAAGTAAAGATTGTTTAATTAAAAAGCTTAAGTGATTTTTGATGTTATACTCTCGAATGGTATATACGATAAAAATAATTTCAATGTTTCTCTGCACTTTAAAACCTTAAACGCTGCAGTTAGTCGCTTAAACGTAAAATTTTTATTAGATTATCGGTATGCAATTGCAGTGACCGTTGAGTCCGGCAGATAGCGATCAGAGCTGGCCAAGTGCCTGGTGCTGCGCCGACAAATGTATCTCGATGATCGCATCCAGCCAGCGACTGAGCGCTGAGCGCTGACGGCCGGAAATAGGCCCACGATAACAACTCCCTAGTCGTCCGCCACACCTTTATCATCGCGCCGCTTGGAAAAGCCGATCATTATAGGAATAAATCAATTTCGAATTTGCGCCTAACCATCGCATCTATCTTAATCCTCGTCACCTCTTGCCGCTTTGATATGATAAATATTAATGCAATTATCGGTTCGATTCAACAAGCACTGTTTAAATTCTTACTTAAATTTTATACATACAAAATTTAAAGTAATGTGTGCAAACTTGTTTTATGGTGATTTCACTGTTTTGCAAACACACAAAATTTGTTTAATCGTTTCGTGTTTTTTACTGTTTCTATTCCGGTTTCTTTCATATAATTGACGGAAAAAACAAAACTTTAGAGACCACCTGATGATAAGTGGCTACTGCAGCCATGACAACTTCAAATAAAGTAGGCTACAGATCCGTTTTCACCCACGTTGACGGTGGAATTTCTCACAGTGTGTAATTACACTGGCTGTGCTCTCTATAGTACCACAGGAGTGCTGCTGCACTCACTACTGCATGGCAGCAGAAATATATATAGAGTTTGACCACATTGATGATTAGACTCTGTGTTTGAAGACGATGGAAAAAGTTGCGACAGTTTAGGAAAATCGTTTATGAGAGAGAGAGACAGAGAGAGAGAGAGAGAGAGAGAGAGAGAGAGGGAAAATATGTCAGTAATAAAAATTAAATAGGTGCTTACACTGATGATGAAACATCTACACTGTATCCTAACGACCTTAATTCTTAGAGTATTTATAAGCAAGCTTATTCAATATTATTTTGATGCCTTAAAGAGTTGTAACTTATAGTCCTTACCTACATCATTTTATTTTAAAGTAAATGCTACATTTACATTTTATTAAAATAGTATACTATATAGTACATTTTATACTAACAACTGTTTTCCAACTCAAAAACAATGGTTATAAAATGTATATTTACTATAATCCCTACGATTTTGTAAACGTGTTCGGCGGTGAAGAAAAACATTAAGAGGAAACCTGCATGTCTAAGAAAATAAAAATTTATCGAAGACATGCTGAAGTCCGCCAACACGCATTGGGGCAGCGCGGCGGACACTTTCTTGCGCTAAAACCATCTCACAAGCGAGAGGAGGCCTGTGCCCAGCAGTAGGGACGTATATAGGATGTAATTTTACTTTTATTTTACTACGATTTGGTTTCAGCGGCAAACATAAATTTTAACCTAAATTATAAAACTAAAGTGGCAATCACAACCCACACGAAGGTAACTGGAGCCAGCCCACGGTCAATAAAAACATCAAACAAAAAAAGACCATAGGTACGTCGTCAAACCCGAGGAATAAGATGAAAGTAATCACAAGTCACAAGCTATAATTATATTGGCCCTTATTATACGGAGCAGTGGATCACTACGTCGCAGAAATAGGCAAAAGCTAACAGTCTAAAACTAAAAAATATAAAAGCAATAAAAAAAGAATATACTGAAAAAGTGAACTGCGCATTTAATTTCGTTTTCTTATGCCCAAATACATACTCAAACGTTGTACAATTTTAAGATGCTATTATTAAGCCTCGGGCTGTCTCTATCACTTTAAGTCAAAGTGACTGTAACACCACAAGACTTCAGTAGCGTTTGAGTATTTGGCCAGAAAAAAGTTTATCTTGGTGGTTGTAACAAATTTTCAATAACAAACTACTAATTCAAACATCATTTTCTTGATTGACATCACCCATGGCTATATTTTTCTGAAATGGTTTAATGTCTTGTAGAGTGGTAGAGCCATACTGCAGGTATATTAGTAGTATAGTTGTATCACGAATGGTCGCCTCGACCGGGCAAGGACCACGCTCTCACGGAAAATAGCAGCTGGACATTGCTGTGTTTCGTATGGTGAGTGTAGAGAATCGGAGACTCATTTTACTAGAAAAGAGGCATTCCATCTTAGTCCTCACGGGTAACAACGCATCTGCATTTTAATTCTTTATTGAGGATAGATGTGAATGTCTATGGGTCACAGAAACTACTTACCATCAATTGGTCTGTGTGCTCGTGTGTCACCTTATCCTATAAAAAAAGTCATCCAAAGTCGTAGTTCTAAGCTAAAGTTTAGAAGTAGAACGAGAAGAAATACAGGTGCAGAGAAAGGTAAAATATAATAATATGTATTATGGTTTAAGAAATTTTAAACACCACACATTGGTCATAAGCTGTGATGAGCCTAGTGAGATAACTAGGTCATAGTCATGAAATTATTGTATTGTATTTATAATATTGTACTGTTGGTTCTTAATACGTTTGCAATATTTTAGATTATTTAGATTTTAGACGTCTGGAAGTGATTAAAACAGAATCGCAAAATTCCATTACATCCATAAACACATACAGGTCAAGCTAATAAAGAGCGTGTAAAATGTTGATGGTCTGAATATAAATAACATTATCTGCACAATTCTTTTTTACATAATATGTTGGTAGATCTTTATTTGCTAAAATTTATAATGAAAAGAAAACATGCGAGATTTATTATGTGGTTATCTAGATATTAAAAAATGACATTAAATAAGAATATGACGCCAAATTTCAATATTCCAAGATATTTCTTTCACGCTTTAAAAGTCACTTAGAGTAAAACTTCGCACAAAATTCCAACAAAACAATTGCCGTTGCAGGCAACTGTATATAATATTTTTATTATGGTGAGGTTAAGCGCCAGCTGTGATTATAATTAGAGTGCTATTATAGAATCGCAAGTGATATATAATAAGCTAAAGCAGCGATGTAAAGACTGCACAACATGATACGCCCCCTTTTGGACCGGACAAAATTTTGTTCGTTTGATT